ATATATATATATATATATAGAGAGAGAGAGAGAGAGAGAGAGGTAGGTTCAAATGTGGATTAACAAATATTGTGTGGATGTAGGGATTAATTTGGATCAAGTATTATTTAATTTTAATAAATAACTAATTAAATCATCTACCCTTTAATTTAGGCAAATTACTTTATTTAAAACCCAACTGCCTATTTCATCCACACCCACAAAATCATCGAAGATGTCAAGATCGTTGGCATAAAATCGCCTCCCGCTTACATCGAAGACAAGGCTCGTTAAATCGACACCTACCTCCTAAACCGCCCTACGCCAATGTCGTGTATCTCCAGCCCGTCGATCGAGTCCTTCCTTCCGCCTACTCCTCCTCTGCTCTGATTAATTTCACAGTTTTCGGAATTTCAATGTGAAGATATATTCCTTTCACAAAGGTAATCTCTCACTCAAATCAATTTCTAATTGCAGGTTTAAGTTTCTTGTTTCCTTTTCTGAATTGTCTAATAGCAGAACAATCTTGGTTATTCCTTTTCTATGATTCTGATTTCTTCCCTTCGTTCACATCTTTACATAATTTTGAGTTTTGGTGTCCTTAATTTTTTCTTAAATGTACCAGTTGAGTTGATTCTTATATGCGTACACCTAATTCTTATGCATAGCAATTTCTATAGAATGATGTTTTTATGTGGATTTGTTTGTTTGTATATATACATAATGGTGTTTGTAAGTGTGTTAGAAGACAATGAATGAACCACATGAATTCTTGAAAATAAAGTGATGTTGTTTTATAAAAAGGTCATAACCCACATAGCTTTTAGTAATTGTGAAGTTTGAAGTTGTCAAGTTTTTCTTAATTCAGCCATAAAACTTAATTTCTAAACCACACGTTTTCTTGTTATTTCTATAATCTTATTCCCATGCTTATTTCTGTTTTTTAATACAGGTCTTTGTTTACTCGTTAGTTGAAGATCTACAGTCAAAGGAAATAAATTCCCTCCTAAGAAGAATGAGAATGAAGATTCTTTCATGAATGACATTGTATTCTTATAGAATGAAGATTTTTTCAAGAATGACTTACTATAAAGCTTGTATTCTTATAGAACGTGACAAAAATTCAAAAAATGGCATTGTATTTTTATAGAATGTAACAGTAAAAGTTGTTTTTTTGTTTATTTTTGGACCTTAGATTTTCCAATAATATTAATAATAGATGATTATTCTTTAAGAATGTTGTTATTCTTCAACTCATGGTTCAAAAATTTGTTATTCTTCAAAATGTTCATTTAATCTGAGTATGTATTCTGTCAGAATTTGTATTCAATCAGATTATGTATTCTATTACAATATGTATTTTAAACTCATGATCCACATTCATTCCTACATCCACACAATACTTACCATCCACATTATAACCTAGCCCTTATATATATATATATATATATATTATATATAATATATCTATATATATATCTATATATTATATCTATATATATATATATATAGGGCTAGGTTATAACGTGGATGGACAACTATTGTGCGAACGTGTGGACAGTGTTATTCTATGAGAATTACTAAGAGAATAGGTTGTTTAGTAATGTGAATGCGTTCAACCTCACAACTATTTTCATTTTCATGCATTCTCACTAATTCTTATTCATTTTTGTTCCCACGCGTCGTTTTTCACTCATTTTCATTCTTACAGAATACGACATAATAAACATTCTGACAGAATGAGAATAATAAAAAAAAGTCTGTAATAAACTTATAGATGGTTTAATTAGTGAGAATGTGTGATGATGGCAATATTTATGTAAGATTAAATCTATTCATATTATCAAACAACATTCTTTGTCATTCTCACAGAATAACATTGTCCACACGTCCGCAAAATATATGTCAATCCACATTTGAACCTAGTTGTGTAAGGTTGAACGCATTCACATTACTAAACAACCTATTCTCTTAGTAATTGTCATAGAGCAACATTGTCCACACGTCCGCATAATAGTTATCCATCCATATTATAACCTAGCCATATATATATATATATATATATATATATATATATATAATATATATGTGTGTGTGTGTGTGTTTTATAGTCCAAAAGAAAGTAGAGAGATGAGGCGAAACTGGAATCCATTAATCGTTTTTGCTGAAAAACTGGACGTGCCTCTTTAGGGGACGCGACGTGCCTCCGACCCAGTGGGCTAATTGTTTTATTAATGGTTTGGGGTATTTAAAGGCTATTAACCCCTAGGGTTTGATCATTCCTAGCCTCCATGACCCTTTGAGCAATTTTACAGAAACCTTAACCATCTCTCTCTCTCTCTCTCTCTCTCTCATTCTTGAGAATTTGGTTGATTTGTGAGCTTATTTCTCCGTTTTTTGAGTGAAGCTTGAAGATCAAAAAGTTATCTAGTGTCAGTAAAGGAAGGTTTAAGTTTGGATCAAGCAAAGTTTCCTCATTTATGGACCTTTGTGAGTATAAAGTTCCTAACTTGCTCTTTGGTTCATTAGATCTTGTTATTGATCATATTTTATCACTTTTTGGTCCATTTTGTTTATGACCTTGGAGTTTAGATGACTCCAACACCTTTTGAGTACCTAGGAATACTCTATGTACCTTTTGGACTTGGAAAGTTGGTACTTTGTGCATGTGCTTTAAGCCATGCAAGCTATTTGGTCCTTTATGTTATTTTTGGAGTGTTAAAGTTTAGATCTTGCATGATGGTGATGTCTTAATAGATAAAGTTGTAAACTTTTTATCCATTAATACACTAGTGAGATTCATATTTGGAAACTTGAGCCATGAATTAATGGATTAAGTCGAAAGACCCTTATGAAAAACGACTAGGGCGCAACGCGACTTCTGAGTTTTTCCAGATGCATGTCTGACTGTCTGAAAACACGACTATCTTAGTGGGCGTGAAGCACCTAGAAAGTGGCACGACATGTCTTTTGACCAACACGCTGAATTTTCAAAATTTTGAGAAAGTTTGACCTTGGGTCAAACTTTAGGATTTTGAGTCATGGACGGATACCTGACCACTATTGATTTAAGTGGTGCACGTAGCTGATTTGTGTGACTTGTTGTGCTGTCACTTCAATTTTTGATCAAGTGAGTCTTCTCACTATACTATATAAGAAATTAGGTGTCATTTTATGCTAGACTGTCTTTGTGACTTTTGCATGAAAGACTGTGGTTAGATCACAACACATGTATGAAATACTGTGGGTGGACCATAGTAGGAAAGATTGCGGTTGGATCGTAGCAACAGAAGTGACTGTAAAACTATGTTTGGATCATAGCGTTCACATGGGTCGAAATATACCCCTAGGGTTGGGCCCATTGTTATGTGTAATATGTGGTAACTCACTAAGCTTTACGCATATGATTTTAAGTACAAATGTTTCAGGTTCTTTTGGTAACCAAGAGAAGGACACAACGTGATTGCATCGCATCTGCTATTTTGATTTTAATATGTTCCACACTTATAGATTCATTACTCTGATTTATGTTATTAAAACAATTGAATGTTACTTTCATGATTGAATGACATGGTTTGCAGTGAACGTGTTGTACAACAAAGTTTCGGGAGGTGCACATGTTAGTTGTAAAGATGGATGTGCTGTACAACAACCTAAAAACTCAACGGAAACATAGGCAAAGTGATGAAGACATTCATAATGAGGTGCTATAATTACCCTCTTTGCAAAACAAGGGGAGACCGTTCAAATATGGTAAGGTTTGGGAAAGTTTTAGCCTCTATTCTGAAATGGTGAGGTATGTAGAAGAAAGAAGTTGAAGCTGGTGCAACAAAAAGAACAAAAACACATCGACAAGTTCTACAATTTTATCAGATGTTCATGTTGGGTTAGACTTAAACAACGATGACAAGCTTAAACTAGAATAAATTGTTCGTCCGCGTGAAGAAAAAAAACACGCGGCAAAACACAACACATCAAAATTTTGAAATATTTAGTGGAAAGAACCGATCATCATTCGGGAGAAGAACTCAAAATGGTTTTAGGTAAAGACGAACATTAAGAAAAAAATATCGACTAGGCCTTTTTTTTTCGGCGCAATCTTGTATTTTAGTTTTTGTTATGTTTTAGTTTCGTTTCAATTTTAATTATGTAATTTTTATTTTCAAGTAATGAAAACTTTCTGTTTTTTATTTATTTAATATATTTTTTAAATTATAGTATTTTAACTATCTTAAAAAAAACTAAATAAAAAAAATAAAGAAGTGAGATGACGCCAAGGTGGTAGCGTAAAAAAAATCCACAATAAATGAGCTTTTTATTTGATTTTTTTCACGAAAAAACTCAAAATACAAAAATTCATTATATCTCTTACAATAATTTTTAAATGTTGTATATTTTTAATTGGTTAAAACTCTCTGATTCCATACAAAAAATGAAAAAGCTAGCTTGCTCGTCAAATTAAGGGGATGTTTTTGATTTTATTTTGAATCTAAAAAAGATTTATAGACAAAAGGACTTATTGAGTTATGATGATGATAAAATTAGTTTTTTAATAAAGTTTTTGTATTATATTTTGTGGTGGGAAAAATCAATATGTCTATAAGTTTTCTTTTTTTAAAAAAATATTTTTCTTAGTTTATACATGTTTTAAGGTGTATTTGTTTTTCACAACACAAAAAGTTAATGAAAAATAATAATTTATTGAAACTTTTTTTGAAGAGTTAATGAAAAAACATTTTAAAAGTTATGTTCACATTGCCAATTTTTTATTTATTTATTACCTTTTAAAAAACCAATAAATCAGTTAAGTTATTTTTAAATAAATGTAAAAAAAAGCTGTGAATAATTAAAAAAGTTCTCACTACGTTTTTTATATTTTAAGAAGTCAAAGTAGTAACAATATATACTAAAATTAGTAAAGTTAGTGTGGGCCACAGCCCAATAGTAACAAAGCATACGGCGTGGGCAACAAGTAACTAACATATCGTAATCAAATAGCTATTTTTCTCCCAAATGTCATGAAGTGATGAAGGGCATGGGCATGGGCATGTGATTTTCTTACATTTCTACTACACCCTAACAACCTTTCGCCACTCACTGATACTATTCTTTCATCATTTCTCTCTCTCATACACACAGAAACACCATCGGACACATACTGAATTGCGTTCTTGGTAACGAACTTCTTTCCTTCTTTAGTTTCCAATGTAAACGTTGGATCCATTGAAAAAGAAATGGAAACTTCTAGAAAATTTGTTCGCGTTTTATCTTCCTCTCCCGATGTAAACTTTTGATTCTTTAAAAAAACAAAAAAAAAAGTTTAAGAAATCGATCTTATAACAAATTTGTTCCCTCTTTTTGACTTTGTCTCTCAATGTGAATGTTTCATTTAATTAAAACCTGTTTCTTGTTTTCACGTGTTCTAGCTTTACGCCAAATTGTGTATTGATCTTTAAGTGTTTGTGATATTGCCTGAACGAGAACTCAACATTATACGATTTTGTTTTGTGTGTATTACAGGGCTTGTGAAGTGAAGATTCTGATTTTCTTTCTCTAAATTCAGGTGATGTGAACATTTTGTATGAAACTTACGATCATAGTATACACAATCATCTTGGTGAATATACACCAAATCCATCAGATTTGATTTGATCGATTTTCTTAAATATAACTAAGATCATATTAGATTGCCCCTGGCTGCTCTAGTTTTCTTTCATCAGGCACCAAAAACTAATGTTATTTTACTTATGATAAATTATTCAATTTAATAAAGCAGTCCAAGTTAATGGGAGATTCTTGGCATTTTCCTCTGTAAACTTGTTTCTAGATCCCTTCTTGTCTCTTACCAAAAACCAGGGTGTCCAACTTTAGATCTAAACAACATCATTTCATACATCATATTGGAGCTACCATCAATTGATGAGCAAATCTATGCTCTACAAAATCTTGTCGTTTCTTTCAAAACATAATCTTTGTATACAAATTTATTTTTCTTAACCCATTACATTTTTCAGATAAACTTAATGGCGCTAGCAAGGATTTCAAGAAACTGGAGACGATCATCAGGAACAAACACAAACACAAACACAAACTCTTCCATTATTCCTTTTTCCAACACTTCACACTCAACTTCAAATGCTAAAACAGTGAGCAGGATTTTATACCTACAAAGCCTAACCAAAGCAGATCATATGAATTTTGAAGGAAGAGGAATTCATGGGATTGAAGGATATAGATTTGGTCATGCAATGCGGATTTCAGAAACTGAGAATTTTCACTATGCTAGTCTTGAACCAACTAAACCAGGGGACAAACCTAGAGTTGTGGTTCTTGGAACTGGTTGGGGAGCTTGTAGATTCCTTAAAGGAATTGATACTACAATATATGATATTGTTTGCATTTCACCTAGAAATCACATGGTTTTCACACCTTTACTTGCATCAACTTGTGTTGGGACTCTTGAACTCCGTTCTGTAACCGAGCCCGTGGGCCGTGTCCAGCCCGCTTTAGCTAAGCATCCGGGCTCCTACTTTTACCTCGCTTCATGCACCGACATTGATACAAAAAAACATGAAGTAAGCATGGATATTCATGTGGAGTCTTTGGTTTTCTTTGAGACTGTGTTTAGCTGATGTGGGAATCTAACAAATATATATGAATGATTTGTTTTGTTTGTGTTCATGAATAGGTGTATTGTGAGACGGATGATAATAATCATGGACTAGGTTATGAACCTTATCGATTCAAAGTTGCATATGATAAGCTTGTAATTGCTTCTGGAGCTGAGCCATTAACGTTTGGAATAAAGGGTGTGAAGGAGCATGCACATTTTCTTCGTGAAGTTAGTCATGCTCAAGAAATAAGGAAGAAGCTTCTGTTGAACTTGATGGTGTCTGAGAATCCTGGTAATAAGTTTACTCTTTATATGCAGTATTTGTAATTATTTTGTGTGAATCTTGATGGTTGATTTGTAACAAAGACTGAAATGAAAGTATTCAATTTTCAGGTGTATCTGAGGAAGAAAAGGAGCGAATGTTGCATTGTGTTGTTATTGGAGGAGGCCCAACTGGAGTAGAGTTTAGTGGTGAATTGAGTGATTTTATTGTGAGAGATGTTTTTCAACGTTATGCTCATGTCAAAAACTACGTTCGTGTCACACTTATTGAGGTTATAATTCATTGTTCTTTTTTCATACATGTAAATTTGTAAACCTGGTTTGATTTTTTTATTTATTATTATTAAATATGACTTGTGTTTTTGCAACAGGCAAATGAAATCCTATCGTCGTTTGATGTTGGGCTACGGCAATATGCAATGAAACACTTAACAAAGGTAATTTACGCAACATTATTCAGTATTCACAACTACTTTTCCATGGAAATGTGATGAAGAACAGAAATTAGGGTTTGATGAAATATGATCAAACAGAGAAAGATTGAAAAGAAGAAGATGATGAAATTGACTAATTGATTACACGATTAACACAATCTAAAAGATTGCCCAGGGAATCTCCCTCTCTCTAAGCCGAAAGCTTAAGAGCCAATACAAAGTATTACACTGTAAAATTTCTAGACTCCTCACAAATGAAATCATCTTCCCTATTTATTACTCTCTCTCTCTCTCTCTCTAACAGATTTTAGCCATATTCCTGATTTACCCTTTTACTCCTTGTAGATTATGCATGTAGCAACTTTGGTTCATTTGCCCTTTTAATTACCATATTAGTATCTGTATCAAAATGGGACCCATATATATAAAATTAAATGGCTTAAACAAACTAAAAAGATGTTATATATGTATCAGTATGGTGTTCGACTTGTTCGAGGAGTTGTGAAAGAGGTGCAACCACAAAAACTGATTCTTAGTGATGGGAGTGTTGTGCCTTATGGGCTTCTGGTATGGTCGACAGGAGTGGGTCCCTCTCAGTTCATAAAATCACTACATCTTCCCAAATCTCCTGGTGGAAGGTATATACATATATATAGTTTTCATCCATGCATTTTGTGGTTAATATATGAAGAATGAAGCACCTATATTTTTAGAAATGTGTTTAATTAATTGTGCAGGATTGGTGTGGATGAATGGTTGAGGGTTCCTTCTGTTGAAGATGTATTTGCACTTGGAGATTGTGCTGGTTTTCTTGAACACACAGGAAGGCAGGTTCTTCCTGCTCTAGCTCAGGTTTGCTTCATCTTTCACTTGAAAATGTTTTTTTTTTTTTTGAGTTGTAATTAAAAGCATGGTTTATTTGAATATAACAGGTTGCTGAAAGAGAAGGGAAGTTTCTAGTGGAGCTGTTTAATAAAAAGATTGGGAAGCAAAATGCAGGGAGGGCTTATTCTGCAAGGGACATCGATCTTGGAGAACCTTTTGTTTACAAGCATCTTGGAAGCATGGCTTCTGTTGGGCGCTATAAGGCGCTAGTTGACCTAAGCCAGTCAAAGGTAATTTATTATTTATTGGTCTTAATTTACAAACTGAGAAACGGACATGTAGATCTCTTTTTTATAATTAGTTGATCATAATCTTGTTGTGTACAACAACAGGATGCTGGGGGAGTGTCGATGGCGGGGTTTGTGAGCTGGCTGATATGGCGGTCTGCCTATCTGACACGTGTGTTGAGCTGGAGGAACAGGTTGTATGTTGCAATCAATTGGGCCACCACACTGGTGTTTGGAAGAGATAATACAAGAATATGATGAAGCAACCGGTTTGTTATTGTTAAGTTAATTTAGGTTAGCTTTAGGCTCATAAATTTTGCTACTGTTTCATAATTCCAAACCATCCAAATTTTTCATGATTATGATTCAGAAGATGACATACACCTATTGTAACCGTTTGGAAACTTTTTGATACCTTTCTGGTGTCTAGGAGAGATAATACAAAAATATAAACATTTCCTCGTTGAACCTGCTAATTTTATTTAAGTCGTCTACAGCTAACAAAAAGAAAAAAAAAATTATAAAGAAACATTTTCTGAATAACTTAAGTAGACAGAATCCCATATTTTCATATTCATTAGATATTTATTTTCTAGATATTTTGACTAAGTTGCCATTTTCTTATATGGAACATGCTACTTTAGTAGATATAACTATTAAAAATTTATTATTACGTACAAGTTGTAATTTTGATCAGTTAAACTTTTTTACTTTTATCGATTTGGGTTCTGTTTCATCTTTCAAAACAAAAACGTTGCTCAACTAGAAAAATAGGTTGAAGGACGTTCTAAACTAAAAGCTTAATGCATACAGCCTTGGAAATTTTGTTGAACCCCACAAATTCATATAGAATATCCAATTTAGTTACATAAACATCATTACATATATATTCACACGAATAAAAAGCACAATTACTTTTTGACATTTTACAAGAAGCTAGCTAGAGATTCACATATCATTCTGTCCAAGTAATATCCAAATCTCCCCAGTTACTTTCGGATACCCCTAAGGCTTTCCACACTGCTTTGGAAGCATCAACGATATTATTAGGGCAAGGTGGTTGATAGTCATGTATGGCATCACAACCCATAGTAGAATCGCACTCATCCACAACCATTGCCTTCACACTCCTCCCGTTTCCATTAATGGTAATATACTTGTGGCACCTGTCCCCTCCTTTATACCATCCGGTTGACAATGCCACAACGGGTGTGTCATCAGAGTGGTACTTTTTGTCACACTCTGATGGACCACCGCCATCACCTCCTTTTTGGAAACTGTTTAATGTAAGTGTTGCTTTCGTCTCACTTGTCACCGGAGCTGAGCATGTGTATGTGGTGTAAAACTTACCTTCAACACAACAATCCGAGTCATTCTCACGGTTGCATTTTCCATGAGGTGGTTTTTTCCCCTGATCCCACCGCTTGGTTTGCAAGTCTCCGCATTCAATATCTCTAATGAAGTTGCTGCTTGGAGGAGAACCAAAACTAAAAGAAAACAGAAGCTCTTCATTCTCTCCTTCGGTTTGTTGAGTATAACTTCTTACAATGGTAATGTGGGATGAATAGCAAGGCACATGGATTAAGTTTTATGTAGAGTTTGGCTCAACAACAAGCCTATTTAGTAGTCAAAGTTTTTTTTTTTTTTTAATGAATTGACAAGATGTTATTCTACGGCACTAGCATATAGATGATACCTTAGACATTCAATTTCTCTTTCATTTTCATAATATAAAATAATTGTAGATGCCGTTTCAACTGATTTGACCAATATAATACAAAATTCTCCGCTATGGTGTTGTGCATAATTTTGTCCCTGTACGAATGTTAATTTATTTGTGAAGTTCAACACTGCATGCATGCAGTTTAGGCTTCCAATCCAAAGCATTATCAACGGCTTTGTATATTTACCAATCTTTGCGATGTATTTTTCTTGTATAACTCACACACTGAATATGCAATCTTGTTAGAATAATTACCATTTTAATTAGTTAGTCATTCTTCTGACTCAAAGAATTGACATCTATCCTTTATCTTTCTCTATAATACCCAATATCCTTTATCTGACTCATAGAAGGTCTTGTATTTTTTAATCTTCCACCTATTTTCTTTTATTTTTTAATACAAATAATACTTATTGATTTTTATACATTTGAATTAATTACTAAATAGAAATAAAAATAAATAAGATTAATAATAGTTAAAAATTTTCATTAATTTAAATAAAAAAAATAGAAATTACATAATAATAATAATAATCACTAAACACCATATTTTTTTAGCTTTTCCCTTCCTAGGTTAGAGTTGCTCGAAGGGACGGTTCCTTTAAAATATCAACCTCGCTTGATTCATTTTGTGCACGAATTACGGTTGAGATGCATGAAATTACTTTTGTGAAGTTTGAGTAGGATAAAAGAGAAGTGTTGTTTTGTTAATCGGTTTTTGGCATTAGGAAAGTTTCCTTTTTTTTATTAGTCTTTTAAGTTTTTATCTCCGGCATAGTTTTAGAACTTTTAGAATTTAAGTAGGATATTTTTTTGTCTATAGGAACGTATGAAACGCAGTTTTTAAAGAAATAAAAATATTGGTTAACAAGTAATATCAAAGTTGTTTTCTTTCCTATTATTCCTTTGTTCTTTTTTTTTTCTTGTTGCACTTTACTTTTCCTTGGGCACCAAGGTATTACAAGGTTTATACCTTATCCTTGGTATGAGAGCCTATGGCTCGTGAAGATCTAGGGCGGCCGGTTTGAGAGTCGGTTTCAAGAAAAGTGTAGCTTTACGCTGCAGGGTAGACGCAGCAGGAATCAGGTTACGTTGAAGGGAGTGTGATTCGGCTTTGATCGCAAGCAACCTCGATCTTTTTATTGGGCTTGTTCTAAGAAGTGGCGGATTCAATTCAATAGGAGTGGGGTGCATGGCCCCACTTAAAATTTTTTCCCTCTAGTAATATGCAAAAAAAAATAATTTATCTCGTTTTTATTTTTAACTATGGACCCACTTCGCAAACATTGGTCCCCACTCATTTAGATTTCTTTCCCTCGTCCATTTTTCTCTTCCCGTCTATTCTTCTCTTCCGTTCTTTGACCTAGCCTACCAAGTACCCAACAAGTGGAAACCATGGTCCATAGCACAAACAAATGAAAATCGTCGGGAATTAGCACTCTAGAACCACCGCCCACCGTCGCCAAAACTTCGCTCAATCCAGGCACACATCACCGCTGCCTAACGTAGTGAGGCCATTGCCTGAAGCTGCTCACCACCGGCTGACCGACACCATCTGCCGCCGCACACGACCCACCACCGTATGACGCCGCACAACACCGCCGACGAAAAGTTTGTAAGTTTGTTGCACTGATTTCTTTTGATTTTGTGTTCAATTTTCAGAAATTTGGTTTGAAACTCTCAAATCAGGTTTTGTGATTTTGTGTTCCATTTCTAAACTGAAATGGGTTTATCTTGCTTAGTGGTTTTGTGTGAACTGATTTTAGTGATTCCTGATTTCTGATTTTTGCTTTGATACTTTGAACTTAATTTAGATTTAAACTGAATTTTGCCTTAATTTAATACTATTGGCTGATTAATTTGGATTAAATGGGTTTGATACCTTGGTTAATTTGGATTAAATGGGTTTGATACTTTGGTTTGTTTTGCTTAATAGTTATGTGGGACAATGGAAAGATATATAACCGATTAAAAAGGGTGTACAAAGTTCAGATTTTTACTTAACTGTTTTGCTTAATAGTTTTGAACTTACTTAGTGACTTTGCCTTTGTTCTATGTTGAATGGTTTTGTTTAATGATTTTTATTGTTTAATGGTTTTTTATTGTTTAACCAAATCGATTCCAAATGAAATTTTAAATTATTGTGTAATTTGCACAGTTGAAACATAAAAATTTTCCAAGGTTAGGAATGAAAATATCATCAATGGATTTTTTAGTTATGTCCTAGATTTCAATTGTAAAATGATATTTAAGGTTATAATGTTATTCTACTTCTTGTTATTTTAATTTTTTCGTATTAATTTATATGGTCAACGGTCAACGGTGCACCCCACTTGACTTCCGGGCTGGATCCGCCACTGGTTCTAAGGTATTACAAGGTTTATACCTTATCCTTGGTATGAGAGCCTAGGGCTCGTGAAGACCTAGGGTGGCCGGTTTGAGAGTCGGTTTCAAGAAAAGTGTAGCATTTAGCTGCAGGGTAGACGCAGCGGGAATCGGGTTACGTTGAAGGGGGTGTGATTCGGCTTTGATTGCAAGCAGCCTCAATTTTTTTAGTGGGCTTGTTCTAAGGTAACGAGAGACTAACCGGAGGCGTGAAATAAACGAACGAGAAGACATAAGCGGGTGGTTTTGATTCGGTTTGTTTTGTGGGTGATGAAAGACGGTAAAGGTGGTTGGAACATTGTCTTGTTGTTCGGTGAAAGAGTGCTCTCAGAACAAACTTGATTAAAGAGGTCAGGGTTGTCAAAAGAGAGAATAGGATGTTGATGGTTAAAAAAGGAGTTTCGATGACGTATCAAGTTTCGGTTTTGACTCCAACGAATTATCCGGTGTGGGGAATCAAAGTCAAGTTAATTATTGATGCACACGACATATGCGAGAAGGTTGAACCGAGAGCATTCGGTGGAAGAATCTCTCGGAATATGACTGATCGGTAAAGGTGTGGTTGTCAAGACACGAAGTGAATGGACAACCTACACAGTGTGAACATTATGGCGTTGGAGTTCAAATCAGGTGGCTTTGGATGTGGCCAAGGAAGAGGTCGTTGATTCGTGAAAAGTCGAGATGGTAATAAATGTATCCAACGGGATGCCATGTTACATGTTACGTGTGTTGTGAACAATCAAAAGGTTGATAGATGACTTTGGATGTGACCGTTGTAAAGGTGGGGTGTCCGGGAAATTTCGATAATCGAGACAGTTCGAAAAGAAGGTGATTAAACACTACTATGAATGAGCGGTATGACTAAACCGATTAAGGGGATGATTGTTAGGTTAATCGGTTTTTGGCATTAGGAAAGTTTCCTTTTTTATTAGTCTTTTAAGTTTATATCTCCTGCATAGTTTTAGAAGAATTTAAGTAGGATACTTTTTTTGTCTAGTATATATATATAGGAACATATGAAGTGAAGTTTTTCAAGAAATAAAAATATTGCTTAGCAAGTAATATCAAAGTTGTTTTCTTTCCTATTACTCTCCCCTGTTATTCCTTTGTTCTTTTTTTCTTGTTGCTTGTTACTTTTCCTTAGGCACCAAGGTATTACAAGGTTTATACCTTACAAGTGTTTGTAGGAACACGTTATGTTGGTTCCTCTTTATGCATATGAAGACATGGTATCAAATTGTGGGTAGTATAGTGATGGTGGTGAAGTATTGAGACTGAAAATGTTTCCGAACGGTGGTTTCTATGAACTAGTAAGTCGGACATTGTTATGCCCAAATGTTGGTTGGTGTAATTTTGCGAATTTTGTGGATCCATTATGGCTGAAAATAAGATATAAATGTAGAATTGTTGTTTAAAAATGTTGGAGATTAAATTAATGAGTATTTATAGAAGGTAAAAGAAATTAATTTTAATTAAAATTTACCGTTTGCCATCTGTCATATTTCAAAGAGCAAAAGAAATAATTAAGATAACAGTGCTTCGTCACAAGAGGATAGTTCATTGTGGGGCCTCTACCTCCGGCATGATGTTCTTGTGTGAGATTGTTGTATGGCGGAATAGCTCAACTCAATGAAAACTAAAAAAGTTATGAAGATTTAAATACTTTAATATCATAATATCAAAGCTTAAATGTAAATTGTTGTATGGCGAAATAGCTCAACTAAGGAGCTGTTTGGCAGGATCTGAATTTTTAAGATCTAAATTTTTAAAAGATCTGAATTTCTAAGATGGTCTGAAATTTTAAGAGCTGAATTTTTAACATGTTGTTTGGTTGGGACATCTGAATTGTTGTGTTGAATTATTAAAATGACCATTTTACACTTCTGTTTTTATTATTATTGAATTCAAGTGTTTGTTTATAAAATAACCTAATCAATTTCTTAAATAAGTATAAAAAATATAAAATCCATATTTATCATAAATCAAAATTAAACACAAATCAAACATAAATATTTTTTTAAATCCACAAAATCATACTAAAATCCAAATAAAATCCTACAAATTTAATTTGACCCAAATTGATTCGCAATCTGGTCACGCAAATTATCCATGTATTCGTTGCCTTGTGAACCTCATTCCATATGTACGTTTTGGCCATCATTCTCTCCCCCTTGTGCTTGACTATTGTTCCCCTCGAACCCCATAAATAACTCATCATATGAACATTGCATTTCTTTACGAAATTATGGGCTGCAAAACAAGCAACGACTATATCTCTTTGCACTGAAACAGGAAAATGAGCCATTTGCTTTAGGATTAGGAATCACACCTTCAAAACACCGTAAGCGCGTTCAATAAAATTTCTGAGTTGCGCATGTGCATGATTGAATTTTTCTTCCTTAGTTAACGCACGTCATCGTCGATAATAGGATAACCAATACCTCGTGTTGCGGTAAAGAGTCATAAATCC